GTGACAGACAGTGATGAAGCTGGTATGTGTTTGCATTACACAAGCCACGGTTAAGACAGCTGACTCCACTGTGAGTGACCCTCTCTCTCTCTCTCTGTCTCTCTCTCACAGGCGCGCACGCACGCACGCACACACACACACGATGCACAAAACTCCGCATTTGAACAGTCAATAGCAAATACTTAAACTAATAACAAAACAGTAGCTGATTCAGAAGCGCCAGATTGTCATAGCAAAGTCAGAATTACCTCCTCTCCTAGGTTCACGAAACGGTCGTCCATAAAATGCATTGCTGTTCTATTGTAAGTAATCTTAAAGATTCCTAAATGCATCTACTTTTGGAAGGCCAAATAAAGTGCTTTTGCTTTCGCCTAGAAACACACAGCGTCTCCCTGACATGGCTGCATCAACACTAACTGCGGTTACTGAAACCACGCCTTCTTTCTTTGCGTGCACATTTGGGCGCATTATGCAAATATTCCCACATAGTGAGGTAGATATGTGGGGGCGTGTTAGAACGAGCCGTTTTAGGGGGGCGTGGCAGAGTCTTAACTTGGATAAAGAATATCTCTTTGAATTTGAGACTTTAGTCTTTGCAACTTTAGAGATCTTATCTATTCACAATCAGCTTGTAACACTCCAAAGAGAAAGGAAAACGTGAAATCGCATCATATGACCCCTTTAATTTATGAAAAATTCTGTCAACATTTCTGAGCAATGATAAAACATTGAATCAGATTTCTGAATTGAGTACCAACTCAATTTTTATTTCTAAACATTTTTATGTTTAAGACAGATGCATCTGTTATAGTGCACGACAAAGTTGGGCAGAACTATAATATGTAACTGAAATTTAGCAAATAAAAAGTGTGTTACAATAATTTTGATTTTCAGGATGTTGCTTATTTTACGTCGACAGCATGGATGAATTATAGGACAATCCTAAAATTGTCACTGAGCTACAGCAGTATTATGTACAAACATTTATTTATAATAATAATAATTAGTTCTTTTTTTTCCAAATAATATAGATCAAACGCCTAAATGTAGGGCATGCCAAGCAACACATCGCATTAAAACAGAAATCAACTGATGTGCAGTCTCAGGTGTGCGTTTATCATCAATTTTAGCCACAGGCTAATATAACTTTGTTCCATTTTTCAATGAAGCACAAGCGAGAACACATAGATTGAGAAAACGTAAAGACCCCACCAGGCTGAATACATAAAAATTGAGGTATTTAATTCAGTTTGCAAATCTTGAGACAAAACACAAGCCTCAGGCCTTATTACGTGGCATTATTTATTCATATGCTCATGTACCTGCCATTAGGTGTGACAAAATATACTTATGATCCTCAACAATAACCAGAGGTCTCTTGTAAGTCATACATAAAATTATGATACAAATCTACTGGCCCTCAACAGAGTCATAATTCATCCGTGTACATGATGTCACCGTGTCACAACAGCAACAACAAAAACAAAAACCTACAAATTAGCCAGAACATCTGGGAGGGCTGTTTCTTTTTTTTTTTTTGCATTTCCTCTGAAGCTCCCCTTGTGCTTCCATCATGTACAATAGGAGACGAAAGTGTTTGCTGAATTGGTGGTTTTGTTGCTGACAGCTGATAAATGCGGTGAGGTTTTAAAGATGACACCCTGAGACTAGCGCTTCATATGAAGCTCTCACATCCTTTGCCCCCCCCAAAACCTCTTCTGACAGCTCAGCCGCTGCTGCTGGTAATTGTCTCGCTGCCGCAGAACGTGGAGAAAAGAGAAAAAAAGGGGGGAAAAAAACGTACGCATTATTGGACGTGTGCATTTATCAGTGAACTGAGTTGGAAAGCCGTCTCATTTCACAGTCTGGTCAGGCACAGCGAAAGAGAACAAAACTGATATTTCATCTCAGAGAACTGCATTTCAAATATGTAAGTGTTCGAAATTAACCTGCTCATTTTGAGCCCAAGCATTAACATACTTTGATTTGAGGGGGGATCTTATTTCAACTTTCCCCTTGTCTGGTCGAAAGCATTTAGCCCATGGTGTGATTAATAGAATCCGGCACCGTTCGGAAACACCACCGAGATGTTAAAAATACACAACTGGGAGATAAAGAGGAAACGCGTTTAGCCTGAATGATTCAGAGCACCGTCTTTGCATGAGTTCACTTTCTGAGCAAGAGCGAGAGAGTGCTGGGATGGCTGTGTGCTTCGAGCTTTCTGTAGGCAAACACAGTGATGGAGGCAGAGAAAGCCTGAGAGAAGGATAACGTCTGTGCTAATGTACGATTCCTGCCAGCAGGAGAGAGACCTCGACTAAAAAACACCTCCAAACATAAATGGGTCTTCTTTAACTATGGGCATGTTTGGCCCTGTGGACTATTAGAAAATCAACAGCTTTAAAACACACTCTCACTAGTTTGCTTTAATTGTCTACTAATAATATCCATACAGTGGACAGACATTTAAAAAAAATAAAAAATCTGTCATTTTGTTCTGAAACATTTTCAACCCAGTGTCATTTCCATTTCTGATTAATCTCATACTGGGATTTGAAATGAATATTTGGTACCACTTTAGACTAGGGGGCACTATTCACTATTAATTAGTTTCTTATTAGCATGCATATTAATAACATATTAGCTGTTGGTTAGTACTTATAAAGTACAAGTATTCTGCAAGACCATATAGATCCCTTAACTCTGCCCCATACCTAAACATAACTACTACAACAACTACCTTACTTACTAACAATAAGCAGCAAATTATGAGTTTATCGAGGGAAAACTCTGATCTTGAATATGTGTTCCCTAATCTAAAGTGTTACCAAACATTTTTTAGATTGAAAGTCTGGGTCATAAAATCTAAACGTAAAAGGCATTTGAAAAGTATCAAAAGTAAATTATGAAAGCAGAGGAAAAGTTACCAATTAAGTTGTATATGCCCTTTCTATAACAAACCAGCGGCTCTATTTGTAGTTTAAATGTAAGTTTTACTAAAAAACAACCCCAGGGATATAAATGTGTCCATAATTGAAGAATCATCCAATAACTAAATAAAGTACTTAGGTGAGTGCACTTACTATTGCTTTTTGCCATTGTTTCTCCCTCTGCTCGGCCCTCTCACATTCCCGTTTCTCATAGTCGCGTCGGTACTCTTCCCGCTTCAGATGCACATGCTGGTATTCCTCATAGCTGTCATACCTGCAGTTAAAAAAAAAAGAATAAAAATCATATCAACTTCTGTCTAAACACAGAACTTTAAGAAATAAAATATAGATTATCTTTAGTATCTGAATTGTTTATCCAAGATACTTGTTTAAGTCTCCTGCTTCTCAAATACTTTTCTGAGAAAAAGTCCCCAGTAATAGTGTCTCCAAAAGAGTGGAAGACAAACAAACACATTAATAAGATGTCTCATTACATCGCAAAAGGTTACAGCTCCCAATGGCGGGACTCTTAAGGGAATACGGCAGAAATTTGGCAGCTGTGTCTGTCAGCACAACTTCACATGCCACTCTCACTAGTTTGCTTTAATTGTCTACTAATAATATCCATACAGTGGACAGACATTTAAAAAAAATAAAAAATCTGTCATTTTGTTCTGAAACATTTTCAACCCAGTGTCATTTCCATTTCTGATTAATCTCATACTGGGATTTGAAATGAATATTTGGTACCACTTTAGACTAGGGGGCACTATTCACTATTAATTAGTTTCTTATTAGCATGCATATTAATAACATATTAGCTGTTGGTTAGTACTTATAAAGTACAAGTATTCTGCAAGACCATATAGATCCCTTAACTCTGCCCCATACCTAAACATAACTACTACAACAACTACCTTACTTACTAACAATAAGCAGCAAATTATGAGTTTATCGAGGGAAAACTCTGATCTTGAATATGTGTTCCCTAATCTAAAGTGTTACCAAACATTTTTTAGATTGAAAGTCTGGGTCATAAAATCTAAACGTAAAAGGCATTTGAAAAGTATCAAAAGTAAATTATGAAAGCAGAGGAAAAGTTACCAATTAAGTTGTATATGCCCTTTCTATAACAAACCAGCGGCTCTATTTGTAGTTTAAATGTAAGTTTTACTAAAAAACAACCCCAGGGATATAAATGTGTCCATAATTGAAGAATCATCCAATAACTAAATAAAGTACTTAGGTGAGTGCACTTACTATTGCTTTTTGCCATTGTTTCTCCCTCTGCTCGGCCCTCTCACATTCCCGTTTCTCATAGTCGCGTCGGTACTCTTCCCGCTTCAGATGCACATGCTGGTATTCCTCATAGCTGTCATACCTGCAGTTAAAAAAAAAAGAATAAAAATCATATCAACTTCTGTCTAAACACAGAACTTTAAGAAATAAAATATAGATTATCTTTAGTATCTGAATTGTTTATCCAAGATACTTGTTTAAGTCTCCTGCTTCTCAAATACTTTTCTGAGAAAAAGTCCCCAGTAATAGTGTCTCCAAAAGAGTGGAAGACAAACAAACACATTAATAAGATGTCTCATTACATCGCAAAAGGTTACAGCTCCCAATGGCGGGACTCTTAAGGGAATACGGCAGAAATTTGGCAGCTGTGTCTGTCAGCACAACTTCACATGCCATTACTTTTTGCTTAGTTTGAACTTTACGTCCAAAAAGTGCAACTTTTTTTCTACAGTCATTTGCAATAGAGGCAACATGGTGTAAAAGCACAAAATGAGCGGACTAAAGCACCATCAGGGAAAAGGTGTAGCTGGGAGGTAGTGCGTCCCTAATGCAAGCTGCTCTTGCCAACGAAAGCTTTATTGTAAAAGTTTGAAAAGTTAAGGCCTTGAAATGATGTATCATCATAACTCATCATATCAATTAGACAGAGTCAGCAAGTGACTTGCTTCCTTTGCATAAGGACAGACTCTGAAAGTATTGCAGACACAGTACATTATCTTGCAGCACTTATTTAAGTCTGTCTCATGTACGGGTGTATAATATCAGCATATATTAATTTTTCTAGTGTAAGTGTCGCATGATACATACACACAGTATATTAAAGAGTGACAAATGGATAAGTATTTGCCATGCGCAAGTACTTACCTGGGTCTCCGACCAAAAATAGAATGAGCCTGGTACTGAGGGCTTCTATAAATCCTGGGAATAAAAGTGCTATTGTCCATATTGTGAGGAGACCTGGGTAGAAGCAGAAAGACAACAAAAGTCTTAGAACAATGTAAAACCAAGAACATTGAACATTGTCTTTACTTCTAAAGGATCACAGGGAACTGAAATGTACGTATAACTTTAAATAAAAGGCATAAGCTAAAAAAGTGAAATTGAGGGTAAAACATGAAATATAAAATGCTGATGTGACTAAATTCAGACGTATAGGTGTATAGTTAGATGTTTGTAAGCATGGACAATGACAATGTCACTTGATATTAAAAGGGGGTATAAAACCGGAGAAATCTTCTGAATTTCGGTACAGTTTTAGAGTCTCCTTTATTAGTACAATCACTATGTATCTCAAAAGGAGGCACTGTAAATATTGTCTTTCTGACATGCTATCTGGATGACCCGTTTTAAATTGTCCAGGACTTCACTCACTGGGCGTTTCTTTCATCTCGCGGGGATGGAGCGGGCAACGCTGTTGAGCAAAACAACAGCTGCTACTAAAAACAACAGAGCCCCATCAAAGAGTGCTGGAGAGAAATTAATCTAAAATTCAAGCTAAAGGGATGAAGGTCCATTGAGGAAACAATGTGAGACTTCCATAAGCCTCTCAAGTTTCTCAAGTGACACGCTTATTTGCACAATAAATGACTCTGCAGGACTCTATTTGTCATCTGCACTGTTTGCGAATGATGAGAGATGAAAAACTTCTAAATGAAACTTCAAAATGCCTCTGAAGGTGTTTCTGCAAGTTATAAAAAGTATTGCTATAATGGTGAGTGAATGTCTGAACTCAGGTTTGAAATGGTTCATTTGGTGTAACAGCAAGTGTGCAGATAAGCAATTTTCCACCTAAGACACTGTTTATCTTCCAAGCTCATTTTATCTTGTGTCTCTCAAAGCCAGCGTTTACTGTCTATTATATGTAATTTTTCTCTAGTTGTGCAAAATCTGCCGTAACGACTTCAGTGGCCATGCTGCGAGACCCAGACTCACGCTTCATCGCAAGGACTGCCACAGAAAGATGTTTACCTTCTTTACAGCCCCTCCTGCTGAGACACGTGGATTTGTGTCCAAAAAGATCGCTAGGTAAACATGTTTCTGAGACAGACAGAATGCTCACACCAGAACTTACCAAGAGGGAGAATGGCTGTCGGGAGACTCGGAGCAGGAGTATGGAGATCTGGAGAGGGATCTGCGTCTGTGGTGAGATGAGGAACGGGAGCAGGAGATAGAGCGTGGCCAGCGGAGGTGCTGTGGCGAGAGCTGAGTGGAAGGAGGCGAGACAGAGCTCCATGAGAATGAACTGCTGGAAGGGGAGCTGGAGGGCGACCCTTCGAGGAGCAGCTCGAGTGGAGAACCTTCCCCCAAGTAGAGCAGGCGCTCCCGGCCTACCTCCAGGTCCTCGAAGTCAGGCAGACCCGGGTGTATGTAATCATTGAGAAGACTGAGGTACCCAACCCCAGAGTCACTGTCCTCTAGAGGCCGGATGCCCCTCTGCTCTCCCACTATCCTGCTATAGAAGGCTTGTTGAGGCTTTCCAAAGTGCTTGTTGAGCTCTTCCCGAATCTCCTGGTCCCTAAGTAGTTTCCTGCCAGCAGAGTTGCCATCCACTGACGTTCTGGAGCCCGAAGTGGAGTCGTGGTCCTGTCCGTGAGCATCCATGTCCGGACAAGCCTCCTGAGCTTTGGGGGAAAGGCCCTGAAGCTGCCTGGCCAGAAAGGAAGACGAAGGGGAGTTGGAAGACAACGATGATGCAGAAGTAGAGGAGGCCGGCATGTTCGAGTATTTACATTCCACATGCCGGCCCTCCATTGGCCCAGTTACTGCTGCAGCTGTAGTGGTGCTGTCTCGTTTTGTGCTTGTAGACTGGCAATAGTCGTGATCACCAAAGACGCGGGGCATGGGCCGCTTGCCCCGACGCTCCTCCAAGCCCCCTAGGTGCATTATGGAGGATTCCTTGCTCAACTGGGCATAGAGCTCAGTCTGCTCTGGGCCCTTCCGAATATAGCCACTGTTTGGCTGAGGGCAAGAACCCCCATTGCTCAGCCTGGGCCTTTTGCTTGTCAGGGCCGAGGGAGAGCATGAAGACAGCTTGTTTTTGAGTGATACTTTGAAAGGGTTCTCTTGACTGGCTTTGTGAGGAGGCGTGGTAGGTGGTGTCAGACCTGGAGGGAAGAAGAGACAAAAGATTTACCAAACGAGATCCTTCTCGTTCCTTAACAGTGCTTGGTCTGTCTCTAAGTGATTGAACAAGCAAGCACTTGAGCCTGATTAAAATATTCCCTTTCATTTAGACCTAATCCTTATCCGCATTTTATTGCAACCCTGACAGATTAATGTGACCTCAGATTGCACCGTGATACTGACAGAGCTACTCAATTAAACTTCCTCCAGACCGTGAACAATCCTAATTCATTAGAAAGTAAACAGTCAGATCTTATAATGACACTGGTGCTTTCGACAAATGCATCAATGCCATACTCCTGGGACTACGATGAATGCACAGAGATGCGGGAGCTGTTATCATTCTCTTCATCTTTGCCACCTTTTCTCCTCATGAACCCCAAGCCATCTTGACAGATTTATGTGCCAACAGATGGCATTTATATGGGAAGTCTTGAGATGTGCTGCTTTATGGCATGGTTAATGCACTTGCACAAACAACCGGAGGTAGTTCCTCTTTATTTTCCTCTACTTCTTCCTCTCGCTTTCTATTTCGACATCTCTTGGATTTCTGCTTTCCTGATTCAATCGCATATTACGACACATAACCTGTCGATAAATTATTTTTCTTTTCAAACTAGTCATTTTTGGAATATTTTTCAGGACCACTTCCTTTTACGACCATATCCTGAAACTGATATTTCAAACAAAATATCGGTTAGTTAAAAGAATGTTAACTAACCGGTATTTTTAGTTAGTTAACTCTGTTTTCTTTTTTAATCTGCGTCAATCACTAAATTAAATTGATACAGTACTGCAGCGGGCACAAGCCTGATTCGGCATACAAAACAGCAGTGGCCATAACTAAATTTATCATTATGCCAATGCAATGAGCTATGAAAAGAAAGTATGCACTGCCAAAGGAACTTCTGCTGCACCAATAAAACACCATCTGGGCATACAATGCACGCAGGGTCATAAACCAAGGACCATTATCGCCTTTACATTACATTACATAAATTACATTACATAGCATTACATAAATATGCTCTGTTCAGTCAAACGCAGCCATGATGAATGCACACGGATACAAACACTAATCATATACCGGTGGGTTCTCTCGTCTGTTTCTGGCAGGGTGTGAATTACACAGGGACCTCTGAACAAATTATTACTTAAAGCTTACAGAACTGATCCCCGTGGTAATCTTAAAACGCCATGCAAGGAGCGTAACACAGACTGACCTGGGTGTCATATGATACCATAATTAAAGGAACCCCCGCTCAAGTTAATCTATTAGAGAGATGGGGATTAGGGAACGGTATTAAATCTGGCACTTTCATAGCGCTGGCTATTCCGAAGGTGTCAAGGTGTTTTGCTCTGCAGTGAAATGCCTGGGCATTTTCTAATTCAACAGCACCATAAAAATGGCTTCTCGCACTGCTGTCATAATGGCACAAACCCCAACGGAAATTTATTTTATGACTTCAGAGTCCCATCTGGCTTTACAGTGACTTGTAATCAGTTAATCTGGTATGATTGTCAGTAAAGACATACGAGTATGAAGGGTTTAAGGTAGCCTGTAGGACAGCAGACACATTATAGGAGAATGCAAACTAATGCTCATCAGAGAGATTCAACAAAGCACTTCCCCTCAGCATTGAATCCCAAATCAGAAAAGAGGGTCTCGGCTAAAAAAAAAACTTTCCTGAGTTTTGCATTAAACAGTGTTGGATTTTGCTTCAGGTTACAAGGCACAAACTCATGCATTAAATACAAAGATAAATGAACCCTTTAGCCTTGCATAAGACGCTGTAAATGTGACCTCACATGACTCCTAAATCTTTAATATAGGGAATCAAGAACTCGAATAGCTTGTAGAAGTCATAAAATTCCTCAAACCCTGTAGCTACACTAAACTGCTATGACATAATCCACATTTGAGCAAAAACACCAAACACAGAGATACATTGTACCCTCGAGCTAGGTCAAATCAGTATACTGAGGGCCATTACCTTGTAGTAAGTGAATACCAAATGGCCCATTCACCAAGATACATTGTGAGAGGGAAAGGGCAGCCATTTTGTTTTTATTGACCTGGAATGATTAATCTCTGCACGGGGGATACAGAAATAATTACCTGCATGATTTATGTTGAGAGAAAGAAAGTGAGAAAGGGGAGAACTGCTGAAGAGTTGTGTTTCAGCCCCAACTGCCATACACTTCATGTGAGTTTAATTACTTTGGGTCAACACCAATGTGTTATATATATATATATATATATATATATATATATTCTGTATATATATATACTGTATTCTATATATAGTACCAGTCAAAAGTTTGGACGCTTTTGACTGGTACTGTACTATAATAT